CCTGGGGTGGGGCCAGCACAACATGCAGGGACTGAATCCTGGCCACTGTGCTCTGTCTAAGCAGGTACTTTAGTCTGCTGAGCTATCTGGCCGGCCCTTTGACTTTCTTATTCTGTCTCTTAAAGAGTACACTATATTGTTTCTCTCAAGTGGGAAGAATATTTATACTTAAATTATTATCAGCTTTCCCTGTAAAACACATATTTACCATTAGTTTGATGAAGTACATTGGTTTTCTATGTGTACAGTAGGGAAATGTACATGCAGATATCCAAGAAAAGGAATCCTAAAGTCAGAAGCTTTCTCCAACCTATATTTTCTTGAAATGTTGAAACTATATGGACTTTGTGAGCTGGTATACTTACATATCTACATGAACATGTTGGACAGTTGTGAAGATTAGATCTGAAACAGCTGGAAGAATATATGGCACATGTAAGCCTTAAGTATAGGAGTTATAATTATCATCGTTAAAAACAAAGTATTTTAACAATCCAAAGTTGTGATGTAAAGTCAGGAAACACTTTAATGTTGTTCTGAAATTAGAAGAAATAGGAATGGAAGATGGAAAAATACTCCTAAGCACTGGGAACTTCAAATGCTATCTTACAGATTGAGGTAGATTTCAAGAGGCAAGGTACAATCTGAAGAAGGCTAAATTTGTATTTATAGTGATACTGGCTCTGAGAATTAACATTACTTAATCCCATTTCAGCTAATCCAAGTTTGCAAAATTTTAAATATTTTTGCACAAAATTTTTCTTCTACTTCCCACACTCTACAGACACTTTTGTCTATATTTAACTTACAATTGTCTTCTTAGCTATAAGTAACACAAAAGAAAATCATAAAAATGGAAATGTTTCATAAAAGATTTGTATTGCTCTGCAGTATGATTCATTTTACAAAAAGCATCATTTTTTCCATGAAGAAGAGTGATGATGGCCTGTGCTAACTTGGGACGTGACCCAAGGTGGAGGGTGGAGGGTGGGCTTCCCTCACACAACAGGTGAGCAGTGCAGGCAAGGGAATGTTGAGCAGCTCTCCTGAATTAACACTGCTTTCTGCCCTTCATCCCGTTTACAGTCCTGGGGAAACAACATCAAATATAACCTATTTTCACTTCTATAACTACCAATAAAGCAATAATAGGAAATAAGAATTATTGGGCCAGCCAAATAGCTCTGCAGATTAAAGTGCCTGCAAGTAGGCACAGGAGCCAGGGTTCGATCCCCAGGCCTGCTGTGATGGCTCTACACCCAGGGTGCGCTGAGATGGTGATTGAGACTGGGCATGGTGGTGCATGCGCCTATAATCCCAGCTCTTGGGAGGATGAACACATGCGGATCACTAGTAGTGAGACCTTAAACACCTTGTAGACCCTTCCCTAAAATACGAAAAAAAAAAAAAATTATTAATCTACAGGATGACAAAGAGCAATTCCCAGAGCAATTCTTTAGAATTTTTCAAATACAAAGTATGATCTGATCTTGAGGAACTAGTAATCCTGAAGCAAAAGATGATTTATTGCTAAATTTTTTAATTTTAATTGTATGCTTATATAAAAACTATTATGCTAATGTGGTGTCACATACAGAGAAACCTGAATACGTGATTTATACATAAAGATAAATGAAGTAGAATGGTAGAATGGAACACAGTACCTCGTACATTATTGACTCTTTTGACTTGATATTCTAGAATCTTGTCAAGTTCTTGAAGTCAAGGTCATTGAAAAAGAGCTTCCAGGAAATATGTTACTCTGCTTTCTGAAAATCAGAAATTTTTGTCCCATCTAAGTCAACCTAAGGAAACACTGGGTACAATTTTAGTTTCTCAGATTCTGTTTTGAGCAGTTCTTACTACCTGTGATGATTAAGATTTCATTACTTTTTTTTTTTTTGGTGGAACTGGGGATTGAACTCAGGCCCTTGGGCTTGCCCGAGAAGTGCTTATTCTACTGAGCCAACTCCCTGGCCCAAGATTTCATTACTTTTAAAGGGCAATAACTTACGAGGCCAGGGTGGTACACACCTGAAATCCTAGCACTCTGGGAAGCTGTGGAATAGGATCAAAAGTCTGAGCCCAGTGCTGGCAACTTAGCTACTTATTGAGACCCTGTCTCAAAATAGTCAATGCTTTTACTTAATTAGTATGTAAATATTTTTAAACTGGTGATACACTTAACACATTTGAACAGAAACTTCTTGGGTCTCCATTAGTTTTTAAAAATACAAAAAGATCTGAGAACTGTCACATCACGTTATTTTACCTTTCTCTTGTCTTTCAACCAGAATAAGAAAACATTAGATCATAAACAGACTGTGGGGGTGGGAGTGGGAGATTCAACTGAAGATTTACTGAAAAGGAAAACCTGTTAGGAAACTTGTTGTGTGGGTTTTTCTTAATTAGCAAAAGTTTACCAAAATCTTATTTTACCATTTCTAGTAGGATTGGTTAATGAGCACTTTGGTTTCAACACCTGAGCCTTTGTGAAAAGTAAGCTTAATTTATTATGAGAAACAGACCTTAAGAACTCTTCTGCTCTCTAAGTCTCAGGCTTAGGACTAATGTCAGAAACCCCATAGCAATTCTTAGTCCAGAAAACACGTCCTCCCTGGATTCTTCAGATGGACTCCAACAGCCTTGTAGGATTCTTAGAATGGAATAATCCAAATAAGGTTGCATTTGGATAAAAGATGAAAAGCTCCTTGTCAGTAGTCTCTGATTGGTAACAAAATCAAACTTTTTAATTTGAAAATTATTTTTATTTATTGATTTATCTTGTTCTTGATTTGAGAGATCAAATCTGAAGCTTTTTTTTGCATTTATTTTTGGTACTAGGGGTCCAACTCAAGATTTTGTGTTTACCAGGTAGATGCTTATGCCCCTGAGCTGTCTCTCTGGCCCCTAAAAGCTAGAGCTTCATGCCTGTTCAATAAAACATTCTACCAATTGAGCCAATTGAGCCATCCCTCCAGCCTACAATACTATTTAAAGTAACAGTGCAAAGGCCAAAACCAAATAATGAACAAACACATATTTCTAAATTTTACTTTCACGTTTTCTGTGAATAAGCCTAACTGAATATATAATCCCACCTGAATATAAATTTTAAAAAATTACAGTAACAAACATTTATGGAAGGAGAAAATAATATAAAAGTCCTTTCAGATTACAGTTAAATAAAAATGGTTTTGCCAGCATGTCACATACTCTACCAGCTTCGGTGAAATACTAGGTTCAAAAGGCACATACAACACTGAAATACGTATCACCCTATCATTTCTTCTAATGGTCCCCTGACAACTTTTCATATTTTGCAAGCTGAATGCCACTCTTAGCACTTCAGGAAAAAATCCCTTAAGAATAAAAAAAAAAATACCCTTATTCTCACTTTAAGGATTTACTACACTTTCAGAAGCAAAAACACATCAAGCCAAAGATGATAAAAATCATTCTGGCTCCAATTTTGCCAAACATACATTACTCACTCTATTTATATGCAAATGGAATAACTACCATGACATCATAATCTAAGCATCACATCAGTGTACAATATTCCTAGCTATTTCAGCAGTGCTTGGCGTTCAGAGTTCTGTGACCCATAGCAAATGGAAAGGAGCCAGAAATTGCAATCTCTCCTGAAACGGAAGCCTGCATTTCAGAGATGGGAGATTAACGAAGGCCGACTTTGATAGGATTACTTCTTGAGTAGGTGTAGTTTAGGCCCTCATCAAAGTACCCACTCTTCTTTTGATGAATCCTAGCTTATGTTCTTGCTAGAGGCACAGTTTCCTCAACAATTACTTTAAAAGTAGAAAATTAAATGAATCAAGGGAAAAAAGAAAGGCTGCTGTAATACTAATGAAATGTAAATAAAAATATGTAACTTATAGAAACATGTTAGAAAAATTCTCCATTTCATCATACCACTCTGTCAATACTGTCAACACTCTCTACCTTAAAAACACCAACTTTGCCTGCAATTAGATATTAAAATAGTCTCACTGGTTTTTATATTGTCAGCAGATTTGAGGACCAACTCACTGAAACAGAAATGTTTTAAAAATTGCTAGTTAATATTTTTGCATTCAATGTTAAAAAATTAGAAGTATAAAAATAACACAGAAGAGTCCCTTAAATCTTTATCAACTTCAGTCTTCTCAAATATGTAACCTTTGTTTTTCTTTTTAAATGTATTTGGTACAGGGTCTTATTACACAGTTTGGACTCATAGTGATCCTCCTGTTTTCGCCTCTCCAGTGCTGGGATTATAGGCATGCGCCACCACGCCCAGTCTCAGTGGCAGGCTCTGCATGTCTGGAGGTGGGGCTAGCAAGGCCTATGGTGTCAGGGATTGAACCCTGGTCCCTGTGCTTGCCTAAGCAGGCACTTAGTCTGCTGAGCTATCTTGTTGGCTTTATATCCTTTGTAATTATTTTTTCACTTTTCTTATTTTTAATTGATAAATAACTGTATTTTTGGCACACAATTTGATGTTTTAATATATGTTAATTCTACAACCTGAGGCTGTGACAATACCATTTCACAAATCGCAAATTCAGTAAACAGTTAAGTCACTCCTTGCAAATCTTTCTAAGTCAACTTTGATGTTTAGCCTGACATAAAGAAGCGACGAGGTCACCAAAGTCTGGCAAAGCTGCACAGCACAGCAATACAGCAAGCAAAATCCAAGCAAAGCTACACAGGACTCACCTAAGAATACATTTTCTATTTCTTTATAATCAGACCTGACTATCATAAAACCCAAGTGAAAGCCCTGTACAAAATAGTTTAATACAACACTCTCACTAATGAATTTTTCAAAACAATCTTGAGAGGAGTGAATATGTTGAGAAAAATAAGATCCTTTCCCTTTACTTAATTAAAGCAAGAATATGCAAGATAAGCACACAAACACGGGCTGCTGTTAGCAGCGACAGCCTGCTCACACACAGATCTGCTTCCTTCTGCTGTGCAGTGCACAGAGGGCTTACATCTGGAATGAAGCCGATCTCGTTGAGGTGATTGCTCAGCTCAGGGTCGTGGAATGCAATCATCTGGGAGAACACGGTCAGGTACTCTGCACAGCAACAAAGATTCAGACATTCGTCATCCTGACAAATTAACTCCAAGACATAAAATGCAGATACATTTTAATTTACACTGTGAATCAGATTTAATTTCTCCATGCAGAAAACATACTTTGATAATTACTTTTCTTTTTTCCTACTTTATTCACTAACTCCTGATTATTAAACAAATATGTTAAGCAACTATGCCATAACTTATTTTCAGTCTTCAGAACTATCAGTGTATTTCTTGAGTCACAAATTATATTAATCATGAATGTTTTATTAAATTCTGCAAATATATTTTCTATCATAATATCAATCTATTTCACATTTGTTGAATATTTAGAAAGTATAACAAATCTTTAAATAAGAAACAACATTTATAAGCAGTCACAAGTAGAATTCTTATGCTTCAAATTTGTTTATATTATAGATCTAGGCATCTGTTCCTATTTTAATGTATTTTCATCTATGACTCTACATTTGACTTATTTAGCAATGAGAATTAATATCACATTAATCAGAAAGTAGGCATACAGCAGCCAATTAAAAGTATCTTATGTTTATAATAACCCAATCCTAATTCACAGGGTTCAGTTGGAATGTGAGCAATAGATCCTCATTTTCTTCAGTCTTTCAGTAACTTAATATAATTAACCAATTTATTTGCTGGACACTAATCTAACCAAGATAGTGGTAACAGTCTCTGTTAGTGCAAGAAACCACTGTACTACTCATTAAAGAAACAAAAATATATACTTTAATGTTTCTTTTGAAATTGAAAACACAACTCAATGAAAGTTTTCACTTAATAACCTCAACTTTCCTTCAAAAATTAGTATCTATTTTTCAAGCCAATTATTTGATGAAAATAACCTCCAAAATATTTTTTGCCTTACCTTTTTAGTTTATAGGTTTATTTGTTTCTCTTTTTTTTTTTTTTTAAGAAAAAGTTGTACTATATAATTTCAACTGGCCTTAAATTCACTAGGTAGCACAAAGTGGCCTTGATTATTTGGGGGAACCTCCTGCCTCAGCCTCCTGAGTGCTAGAATTACAGCTGTGTACCACCACAGTGGGACAAGTTTACAATTTTTAATATTTCAAAAAAGGTACTACACTTTTACAATACGTTATTATAAGTAGGCTTATCTTGGGGAAGGGAGATAAAAATTTTTAGAAATATTTCTATTTTATCATTAATACCTGTTCGTGATTTACAATGAATATATTCATCACAGAATGTTGGTACATATCACATCTACTTTTCTCAACTAAAACTTTGGTTCACATTCATTTTCATATTATTTGCCTGTTGGCAATATCATATAGCTTACAGACAAGAACTTCAGGCCAATGTTGTTATGTTGAGCTGTGGGGGACTCAGGTCAATAATTTCTGACATTGCCAGTTAAACAGAAGACTCAATGCTATTATGGGCTACTGGACTCTTTTAGAATATTTTGCTGAGTTTATACACCTATAATATTCAATAACGGAACTTAGAAAAAATGGGGTATACCGATGAATGTCCATTTTGTATCTGTGTGTTCAAAGTGGTTAGGATAGATATATAGTTTCATTCTCTTAATGAATAGAATGATTTGTTCTAATGGTGTTTGTAAATAGGATCTCAAGTCCGCATCTTGTACAGCAATTAACCATTAAGAAGAATATATGCAGTGTGTTATTTGTTGAAACTGTACTTCCGATTTGATTTGAAACTGTCTCATTGCTATCTGTTTATCAATAAAATTTTGAAAAAAAAAAAAAAGAACTTCAGGCCAAAAGGAAAGGAAAAGGAGGCCTGCCTTCCATCCAGTGATAAAAGCAAGTCACCCTCCTGACATGTGTGTATCCTGTTCATGCTGGATAAAAATGGGCACTCAATTAAGACCTCTTCCTGGTTTACTGTTCCTTCCACTACATCAGAGTTCACTCTCTCTGCCCACTGTCTTACCTTATCCTCTCTAAGATTCTATCAGCTCTAAGAGGTACAAATCAAAGTAAAGATCAGTATTTGCATGAAGGCTCTGGGTAACTTCTGGGTTTAACTTGCTTTTTCCTTCCAATTAGTGAGGGTGTGTTTATAGCCAATTACACAGAAGGCAAAGGTTTCTAACCTCAGCCATTACAGGCATCCCCCTGTACACTGATCAGCACATAATTACTAACTTCTAACTTCTACAGTAGAAATTTATGCCTCAAGCAATTCTCCATAGCTCTGCTCCCATTTATTAAGAATCATTCTTATTTGAACCTAATAAAATTAATTACTATGTGGATTTACATGGTTAATTAATGATGTACTGAAGATACAGAATTCATTTTAAAACATTTTCTATATATCCTGCCAAACACTGATAGCTGGTTTCATGTTATAGCTACATATTCATACAGAGATACACTGTATGTTTTCTCGTGGATTATGTTACTTCATATATGTAAATATGATTTATAAAGCTGACATGTTACAGTTGTACAGCACAAGCTTTCACATGAGAAAGAGTATGGCATCTTAGTAGGCTTTTGTTCTGAATGGGGGATACAACAGAAGCTATGAAATTAACATCACATTGCATTCTAAATTATTTCAGCGAAGCACTTAAAACTCCCCTGGAGTAAATTTCCAAAATTGTAAAATGCTTACATCCTTCAATTTGTAAATAAAACTGAAAGAATTGAAGGGTAGTTATACAAAAACAGACCAGTGTTCAAAAACCAACCCACCCATCAACCAACCAACCAACTAAAAAAGCCCCATAGGATTCCTTGGATGTAGCATCACCACTGACTCTTTAAGGAGACATTAAAATGTTGTTAAATCATTAAAACTGTGATTGATACTATAAGATGAAAACATTAATCTAGAGTATTAATCTCAAAAATAGTACTCTCAAGCCTATTATTTTACTTATATAAAAGTAAACACCTTTTTTTTTTTTTTTTTTGAGACAGGGTCTCATTATACACTTTTCTCCTGCCTCAGCCTCCTCAGTGTTGGGGTCACAGGAATGTGCCACCAGGTCCAGCCCAATGCCATTTTTCTTTCTAAAAAATCAAGAATTTTATGAAATTTCTCCTATTGTACAAAATCATATCTAATATAAGGTTTTGCATTTTAATAATTTCTTATACTTTCAAAATTCTGCAGATATAAAATGAAAATAAGTTATCCTTATAAAATATTTTCTGCCTTTTTGACAAATCTCTCCTAAATTATTATATTATACTATAGTTTCTCTTCTATTTTTATAAGCCAAACAAGAACTTGTCCTCCTTATCTGTAAGTCTTTTAAGTGTCTTAGAGAAGGGTATATATAGCAAAAAAGCATGAAGACTTGTCTTATTTGTTGAGAATTCATTATCAATACATGAAACAACAGAAAATGAAAATGTAAAGAGGCAAATAAATTCTGCATTTTAAATAGGAATATGTGGGGTCAAAACAAAAATCAGAGGGCTGGAGAGGTAGCTCAGTGGCTTACGTGCCTGCTTTGTAAGCACAAGGTCCCAAATTTGATGGCTGGTACCACAAACAAAGCAAAACAAAACAAAAAGCAACAACAACAACAACAAAAACATATTAAAAATAGAAATTAGAATCACAGAAGACAACTATTATGACCTTCTGAGAGTTATTCATTAGCCATCTAATAAATAGTCTGGCTCATTTGATAAATCCTATTTTCACTACTTATTTGAATATTCCCAATACTTTCATCTTTCTAAAGTATAGGAATCTGACTAGGCACTATGCTTTAATAGGTGAATGACAAATTTAAAAAAGAATGATGGCCAGGTTTTTACAGGTGAAAGTCTCAGTAAACATTACTGTTTCACATTAGCTTCAAAAATAACATTATACTGCTTATATATTTAACTGAAGATTAACAAATTATGCTAATCCTGCACAAATACTAACTTGATTATTTTCTACCTTTAATTTTCAGTTTGTCTTTGTCACTATTTAACAGATTTTTTTTTATGTTGTACAATTTTTTTAACTTCTAGTATGATCCAAGGTGTTATTAGAACTTCCCATTTTGGTATTACTGGACTGAAGTGGACACTGTCGATTCTATATAACATCACTGATAAAGTCCATAAGGAAACCAAGAACAAGTAAAGAATATGGAGAATCAGTATCCACAGTAACAAGATGTAAGACCACTCTATAGGGCATGGCTTAGAAAAGTCTCTGAAGTGGCTGCTGCATGATTCCTGAAGCTTAGCTATAAAAGCAACATAATAAGATTCACAGTTCCAGAGTCTTATTAATCTGTAAGCAAAAATCAACTTCCTTCCTATAAATCACTTTCCTCTTTAATTATAAGATATCAAAGCAAAAAGTAGACTCAAAGTCAAGGATGTATCTGATAAGTTACTAAAATGGTAAATGGAACACGATCTGAAGAGCTCTGCATTCTGTTTCAAAAGAAATACAAACCTACAGAGAAATTCCCTGTTCTTAAAATATTTAGTATCTTATTGAAGAAATACAAAAATAGCATGAAATGCCATAACAATGGTATTAGCAAAAACTAGTAATAATAGGAACATGAACATTAAGAAACAATAGTACTTACTGAATGCTCTTATGTACCCAGAATTTAAGTTATTTACTACATTTAATCTTTATAATAACCTTTTAAAATTTTAAATAGAAGGATAATGAGACCTATTCAGTTTTAAACTTAAATTTTTGGGCCAGCCAAATAGTTCAGCAGAATAAAGTGCCTGCAAGCAGGTGCAGGGGCTGAGAGTTAAATCCCTAGGCCTGCCATGCTGGCCCCAGCCCTGGAGTGTGCTGAGAGGACGATTGAGACTGGGCGTGGTGGTGTGCGCCTGTAATCCCAGCTCTTGGGAGGCTGTAAACAGGCAAATCACTAAAAGTCAGATCTGGTAGTGAGACCCTGAACACCCTTGTAGACCTTTCCCTAAAATACAAAAATAAATAAATAAATAAATAAATTTTTGTCCAATACTATATGAGAAGCATGAAAGCTTAAATCTGAAGCCTTTCTAAAATTCAAAACTGTATATTACTAATTTGTCATACTATTTCCAAAATGGAACCCAGAATATTTTATTACAAATTTGCATGCAGCTAAAGTCAGCCCAAATGAATTTACAAATATTTTATGCTGTAACTTGGACTCTGAAGGAGAAGGAATGAATTAAGGAAATAAAAGGAGCATATTCTAAGTGTTTAAGTTCTGGGAATGAGATGAATGAAAAGTGTTTTTAATATGCAATTAACATTTAAACTTTTTACTAATTCACTATGGCTTACTACAGGGGTAAACTTTTTGTGGGCAATTTTCATCGTGAGAGAGAGAACAGCAGCCTCTTATTTTCTAAAATTTTTGCATTTGAGTTAAATTGTCAGAAATTAAACAGTCATTAGGAAAAACATATTTTGTGGTGGGCTGTGGAGAAGACTAGATTTTTCTGAATTTTCTCCATGAGTTTTAGGAATGCACCATTACCATATTTCATTTGGTCAAAGTCACAATTTAACTGAGTATTGGTTAGGTATTATTCCTGTAAAAGGACAAGAAAAGATATGTGCTTACCTTGTATTACATGTGAGTTGTCTTTTAAGAAGAAGTTATATAGATATTTGGGAATAAAAGCAGACATACACGCATAAGCCAGGGCTAAAGAAGAATGAGACAAAAAATTGGTGACTGGGGAAATGACTGGCTTTCATTCATTCATTCAGCATACATTCATCGAGTCTATTATTAAACTGTAGTTATGGAGGTAAGTTCTGAGGACATAAACTTAAAGCAAAAAGAAAAACCTCTTTAAAGCAGAAAATATTTAGACTACAAAAGATAATAATCACTGTGACAATAATTATTTCCCAATAATAAAAACCTTTGTTACTTTAACTTTTTAAAAAATTTCTAAACATGATCATCATTATTATTATTATTTTACGTATTTGGTCTTACCACGCAGGGTCTCACTATGCAGCTCAGACTCATAGTGATCCTCCTGTTTTCAGCCTCCTCAGTGCCGGGATTACAGGCGTGTGCTACCACGCCTAGTCTAGATGCCCAGCTCTGTGTGGCCGGCTCAGTGTGACCAGGGACGGGCCTGGCATGGCACATGGTGCCAGGGATCAAACCTTGGGTGCTACACTTTCCTATGCAGTCACTAGTCCACCTACCTATCTTGCCAGCCCAACATGATCATTATTAATGTGCTGTAAAACTTCATAATCTTAATTGATGCTGATGGAAATAGGAGTCACAGAACACTTACTTTAGGAATACTAGTTATAACCTGTCCTCTGAAATACAGACTACTTACTGCTCTTCAGTCAATATAAATGCTACTTGGCTTTGTCTAAATACAACAAAAGCCCAATTTTATATTAATGAGTATATCAATGAACAGTACCTTTAAAAAAATCATTCAAAGAATAAGGTTTTAGTTCTCTGGAGCTATGCTATCTCTACTTAATGTTATAAATAGTTCTATGTGCTATATGTGATATTGTTAAAGATTTGGAATCTCAGTCAATTTAATTTAACAAATATATATTAAATTTCACTACAAAAATACTGTAACAGAAGCACAAAACACAAAAACCTGTCATTAACAAAAAGTTGTCAAAGAAGGGTTGTAACATTAATGTATGTGTAATCAGAACATAAAATAGACTCAAGATAGGTTTCCTAAAATACAAAATGTGTGCATACATTCAGAAAGGAGAGTAAAAAGTCTTTACCAGAGCAGTATACTTGAAATAGTAAGTTTTCAAGAAGTAAGATTTAAGAGATGCAGTAAACACTGATATATTTTCACATTATTTATTTTAAACACAGTATACTAAAACTATACTCTAAGAAAGTGAGAAACCTCTCTCAGGTTTCATAAAAATGGCCAGGAAAGTAGGTAAATGAATTTAGAATAATCACTGTAACTCCCACCAAATCCCTTGTCATAATGGGTACTCTAGGAACAAACTAGTTCTTCATATCCTTGAAAATGAATCTAAATTACTAATTCGTAAAATTTTACAGCATTGGTAAGTGTACAAACCATAAGTTCAAATATTTTAGAATATAAGGTGTAATAATTCTTTAAGTGATAAAGAGGCTTACCTTCATTATTGAAATTTAGGTACAGGAATGGAGCACATAGTGAGTCAAGACCTGATGCAGAGAAGTTGGGAGAAAGAGTCAAACAAATGCAACCCAGCAGGCCTGCAGGTATGTACCTACTCAGTTCTCTGCACTGCCTCTAGGTAGAGGGGCACTACAAGCGTTAGTCACCAAGACATGTACGTTTTCATGAATTATTGTGAAGATAAGTAATAGTGTATGAACACAGTTTATGTCCCAAAAAATCACTTATTACCAATATTTATGTAAGGTAAAGAGCAACATAGCAATAAAATATGTAAAAATGTTAGAAGAGTTAAAATACGGTCCCATCTGACCTTAACTGGCAATTGTGTAACATCTTCAGACATGTTTTCCTTCTAGAAAGAGATTTGCCTTATATATTTTTTTCTCTTTGAGATTATGGACAAAATCCATTAAATATGGTGAAGTAAAATGCAAACAGTGATCTATTATTTTAATGATAATAATATCCATATGCCTTTAAATTGAAATAATGCAGAACACTTGAGAAATGTAAGAAGGTAGTAAATGTTACATTCATTTTATTAAGTATGGCCACTAAGAAATAGAAAATTTAAATATAGTGCCATATGCTTAGAGCAAAACATTCTAGAAAATGGCTGAGTGCAATGGGTTTCTCATTCATGAACTTACTGGTGACTATAAAAATAATGACATTTGGGCTGAGAATGTAGCTTAGCGGTAGAGTACATTCCCTGCATGCAAGCCTTGTATGCATGATTTGATGGTCAGCAGCCTCTACAAAAAGTTAATAAAGCTGAAATACCAAGGATCTAAAGCATTAATATACTAGAAGACGAAGAGAGACAGTAAGATGTGTATGTACACATACCAGCTCCACCATGAATATAATCATTAGGTACTACAAATATGCTAATAAAAAATATTTAAAAAGACAATAAACAAAATGAGCACTTTAGGGTGATCTTCCATGCTTAATTTCTAATAGACTATGCAAAGCATACAAGGAATCATTAAATAGTAAAAACTTTCAAATAGCACCAAATTATTTCTTGCATAAATTTATTGTTTGCATAAACTCACAAATGTGTCCATAAATTTTTTAAAAAGTACCAAATATCCTGCTTTCCTAGTCACATAATTGTAATTCGTTTAATCTATCTATCTATCACATATTTAAATGACACCTGCTAGGGATTTAGACAGATTTTAAAAAACGTTCTCATAAACCTTTCAAAAAGTAATCAGAGCTTTAATGTTTACTTTGTTCAAAACAAAAGATAGTTGATAGTTTCAGAAACTGACACTCACACAGTAAGTCTCTAACACTACTCCAAGAAAAGCCTTAATAATAAAAAAGTTACCTTGCCAATACACAAGATCAGGATGAGATACCACCCACGCCTTCAATACACGCCTAAACTTTGCATGGCCTTCAGGTGACGATAAAAGTTCATCGTATTGATGACAACGAGGGATATCCACTTCAATCTATGAAATTGCAAAGTAACAAATAGCCATGACAAACTGATCTCTAAGAAATCCTGAAACCACATTCCCTAAATAACAAGAGCATAGAATATAATGTGACCTTCAGAGTTTCCCTGAATGACCCTAGTATCTAAAGTCTTGAATGTTTTATCTTCTGGACTAAAAAAGAAGGCATATGCATGATTAATCAGGGTGAACAGACTTTAAAAAAAAGGCATGCATTAATACAATTTATTACTATATAATTAATATACTACATTAAAATAGTATTAAAATATGGTCTAATTTGGCTTATATAAAAGGAAAATTTTTCAGGTGAAAAGTACAGTTATTTTTTTAAGGTTACTTGACCTAAAGTACTTTATAGTGCTATTATAATTCAATAATTTACAAACACTTTCAGGTATCTTAATATTTGGCACAAGTTGAGTATTTATAATGGAACAAAAGAACATTGCACATAGTCTTCTAAAGTTTAAATATTTGGCAGAACTATGGCAAGTGCTTAAGACAATCTTACTTGTCTATCTGTAGGAATTGGAGTGTCTTTATCAATTGCATCATACTTAGCATGAATAGCTCCCTGTAAAAAAGAAAAGAAATTACGTCACTTCATTATTTATTTAACAAAAATATGTTTAATAAAAATGATAACACCTGTTGAGTACCCCTGTTCTAAATATGTGATAACAGACATAACTCAGATTTTGGACTTTCACTGATTTTGGAATACAATACCATATCTGTAAAATTACTGATTGAGCATCTCTAATCTGAAAACCTAAGATTTAAAATGCCCTAAAATCAAAAACATCAAATGCACAATGTCAGCACTCAAAAATGATTAGATTTTGACAATGTGTGATAAAGGCCTACGATAAGTGACAACTTGCCATGTTGGGGAAATAGATCTTATATTATTCACATCGAAAAGTAAATGTCTTGGGTGAGTTACTTATCTAATGAATATAGTACAACATAATTCTATTCTCTGTTGATTGTTAACTTATAAATAATAAAACTTTGGTGGTGGAAGGTAATCCTATAAAAAATTTCTGTTAAAGTTCATAATAAAACAAAAAATAAGATTGTTCTAGAAATATTGGTTCATTATCAGGATAATAATTATAGAACAACTTGAAACTGAGAGGGTCAATTATATTCCTTGGCTACACTGCTGCAGAAGAAATATTTGATTAAGATACTTCAGATTTTGGTCATGTTCTATAGTGCCAAACATGAAAACATCCTTACTCTTCTATCTTTCCATTATGATAGAGAAAGAGCCAGGAATTTGGTATATTATTTTCTATATCAACTTCTTTGGGAAATCTAAAAAAGAGAGGTTTGGACAGCCTGACAGAAGTATGCTCGTACTTGAGTATTAATCACTGTCATATGGAATGAAACAGCAGATATTTTCACAAAATAATCAGCTAATTTCAAAGGTACTTCTAGACTTTCATCAAAAGAATCAGAAATGAAGAAAGGAAATTCTTCTGAAAGAGGAAAAGGATTAAAAATGGTAGGAACTAAAAAGGTAAAAGATATTCAGAAAAGGGGCCAGGGAGATGGCTCAATAGAATAAGTGCTTGCCTGGCAAGTGCAAGGGCCTGAGTTCAATTTCTGGTTCCACACACACACACACACAAAAGATATCTAAAAAAGAACATAGGAAGATGGGATGAAAAGAAATCACTAGGAAATGACGCAGTCTGGTAAGGATCTAGCCCATTATCATGATTTCTAGCACCACACCAGAGTTCTTATTTATATGATAAGCTGCCCTAATAATTCTATGACAACTCTCCTTTCTTTATGACCACGGGCAAAATGTGGAAGACCTATGTTTCTCAGCAGCATGATCCAGGTGAAGTAAATGTGACAAAAGATACAAAATTATGTTAATGATTTTGAAGCACAGACTGAATTGAAAGAGTTTTCTAACCTTGGAACTGTTCTCTGTAACTGATGTGCAGAAATAATCTGATTTTAAATTTAAAGATCAAGATATTTTCAGTGAACACCATTAAAATACTAAACAGCACAAATCTAATGAATTTTAATTACATTTTCTATTCTATTCTTTGCATGTATTTCTTTCATTTAGGATACTAGTATCATTAAGCTTCTCTTCTGGAGGGTTAACAACTTAAGTTTGAAGACCAAAAAATTAAGAGAAAAAGAAGGGCTACAAGGATAGGCAACATTTTGGCCCTAGCCCTTCAAGTCCTCAGTGAGGACTGAGGACACAATAGAACCTGTACTGTAACATCCTGTAACTCAGTGGTGTCCCAAATTTTCTGTTCAAGGAGATTATGCAGCCACAGAGGAAAGTGATCAATGAAGTAGAGTGTGCCTAAGGAGAGTCACCTGGAGAGAAAAAATTTTCTCAGGCTTTCATAGAGAGCATACCGGTCAAGCAATGGCCATGATTCATCCACATGGCAGACACTGACAAAAGATCTACAAACTGCTGTACAGGGTTTCAGGGTAAGTCCTGAGGGGATTTGATTGACCTTGGCAGATACAAGTTACATTTTTTGTTATATAAATGTTGCTTTACCTTTGTCTTAACCATACAGCAGAAAAGTACAAAAATGAGGTATAAAAAGAAAAGACATATTAATATGCTGAGCAGTAAAAGGCTCAAGTAAACAACTTCTGACATTGCCAGTCATGTGAATAATCCACTACTATTACAGACTACTGAACTATATTGGACTACTTTGCTGAATGTATGCAACTACAGTATATAAATGGCAATGGAATATCCATCTGTGACAAAAGTAAACAAAAAAGGGGGATATAAATGAAGGACTACTTTGCAGTAAAAAAAAACATACGTATCTGTATATATAAAATAGTTAGCATAGGGCCGGGGAGATGGCTCAGTAGGATAAGCGCTTGACTGGCAAACGCAAGGATCTGAGTTCAATCTCTGGTTCCGCAAAAAA